TATATAATGTCAATGGTATTGAAAAACATTTTCGGTTCACTAGAATCCCTTTTGGAGTCGAATCAAGTCCATTCATGCTTGGCGCGACCATGCAGCATCATTTGGATCTACAGGCTGAGGAAGTGGAAGACACGGTACAGACTTTGAAAGATAACACCTACGTTGACAATATAATGCAAATCGGAAGCGATGTATCAGAATTAGAAAAGTTCAAAGTCGAGGCTACAGAAATCTTAGAAGGTGCTAAATTACCACTTCACAAGTGGGAATCCAACGTAGAATCGTTAGAAAGTGAAGACATGCCAAATCCTTCAAAAATTCTTGGACTTGCATGGGACAAGAAAGAAGACGAGTTGTACATTTCAGCACCAGAATATGCTGAAGGAGCAAAAGTTACGAAGACGTCTATTGTGAGTCACCTCGGAAAAGTTTATGACCCTTTAGGCATAGTATCACCCACAATGGCAGAAGGTAAAAGAATTTATCGTGAAGCCTGCGATGAGACAAAGAGTTGGGACGCGGAGATTTCAAAGCCCTTAGAACAAGGCTGGTTAAGGTGAACAAGACAGTTACGAACTGTTAAAATTCCCAGAAGTATATTACCAAGGGTATACGATAGGTTAAACAGGTTCATCTTCACATCTTCGCTGACGCAAGCAACCTTGCGTGTTCGTGTGCAACAATAGCAGCAACCTCGTACCCAGGGCCTTTGCGCGGTTCAGAGGCTCTGGTACGGGAAGCAAAGGCCCTGGTAAACACTGGTCACGTGTGTCCAAAAATATTGGACATTTCGTAATAATTTAGTTTTCAATCCGGGGGGAGCGGAACCGATTGATTTTGTCAAACATGGCAGCGTGAAGGCGCGACGTTTTCGAGTTTTATTATTTTACGATAAATAAAACTTTCCTAGTGAGATCTAAAATGGGTATATATTAAAACTATGCATTCTACGAGCTTTCTTTCAACAAATGGTGGAATAGCGAACGGTAATACTTATCAAAGATCAACGATCAAACTGAGAGAAAACTGGTCGAGTGATCTGTCTTTTATTATAAAATAAACTGTCTATTTTGTATCCATGCAGCTGCTTGTGTGCGACGTTTTATAAAGAATTAAATAAACATTGTTGATTAATAATGATTATAAGTAATTTTTACGTATTGACCAAAGAATATCACTTGGGATTTTATTGTACTTTCATGGAAGGATACATATATACTCAAGTAAATATGTGCCTGTATAGTGAAAGGGACATATATGGAAACGAAATTCTTCATGTGTAAACATGTAGTTATCAAAGCAGAATATTTTGACAGTGACAGGTTGGTTTCCGTATGTATGTAGTTTAAAATACAGTTGTGAATGAAATTATACACAGTATCTTGAAACCTTTGTGTGTGAGTTAATTTCATATTTATATTTGGGATGTTTATTTCTCATTGTCTGGAAGAAGGGGATAAAGGCGGGGGTACCAATTATGAGAAATAATATCCAATGATCTTGAAGTCCTGAAGGACATGTATAAAGTAACAAATTTATTAGGAATCTGATATATAAATGTAAGCAAAAACCAGACTTAGGAGTCTAAAGGCAAATAACAGTCTGTACTGGGTGTGTGTTCACCTATTTGTTTACATTTGCAGTTACATTAGTTCATGATTTATGAAATTTGATAATTTTAGTCATGGCAACAAGTCACTGATAATTTTAGGGTAAATAATTTTCTGAAATACTTCATTTGTCAGTTGTGTGTTATAGTATATATAAATATCTTGGAAAAAAGGTGTAATTGTACCCCGTCTAATAGCTTTGGTTCAATGCAATTGGCAACATCAGCAATTGGGCTGTCTTAGAATTCATGAAAGACCTTTGCTACAACCCCAAGAAAACATGCCTTGTATCAGGAGATTAAATGCTCTGTTTCAACCAGATTCACCACACAATTGTTATTGTTACCATTGTGACTGCTACCCTTTTTACAAATAATACACTGATAGTTGAGCACCAAGATTGACATATCATACTGTGTTTTCAAATATCTTTGGCTCATAATTTCCATAATGATGGTCAATTATTCCACTTGCTGAGAATACTATAATTACTTCTTTCCCATGGAGGTAGGGCTTAACAGAGAGACATAGAGGCTTAATAAATATGGTTACACTGAATTTTATCAGTAAGTAAATTTCATTTTTTACATCGTGAAACAAAAGATCACCATATTATGCATGAATTATGTCACTTTCACTTGGCACAGAGTGCATGAACACACCAAATTCAAACATTCACTGGCTGTTTCTTGATGAAATAATCAACAGATTTTTTGTGCAAACAATATAATTCATGAGGGAAAAAATGCATACTTATATGTGTGCACATAGTTTCAAGACCATACTTATATGTGTGCACATAGTTTCAAGACCAGCTAGCAGGGTTGAAACCAACTTTCCCAGTTATGATTGGAGCTGATGAGAACATGACCTTATAGTTTTGAACACAAAATGGAATGGGACTTCATCAAGGTGGCAATATATTGGCATTCACCCACACCATGGCAATATCGCACAATATACAAGAATGCACCCATGCAGGTTCTGCCTTCTCACCAGCACAATTGATCAAGTCATACACATTCATTGCTGCCAATCTCTTTATTTAATTGTCTCATTACAATTGGTATGTACAATATATTTTCATTATCAGCAGTATCATTAGAACTTGTGCATCACCAGTATCATCACAACTTGTATTTCACTAGCATCATCATTATTATTCTCACCATTCTACTTTTATTTATAGTCAATCACAATGAATCAAAAAATTTCCTATCACACCACTCATATTACTTAATTGCCCAAGGTTAAGGCCATTTCACAGCACTCCAGGATCTGAATACCTGCAACCACCTTTTCGATCTAATACTAAAACAGAAACAAACAACCATTGTCATACTGGAATATCATTGCCATAAAATGACTGTCATTTGAAACCACATTCTGCTGTATTAGTGACAGCACAACTGCTCCACAACTAAGGTAAATAGTAGGGATATAGTAAGTTAATACTGATTACTGGTAATTGTCTTTTTACATTTTGCTCACAACCAAAGTCCAATTATATGGAGCAAGTATAGAATATCAAGCCACTTTTTATTATTCACTTAACCTTACAGTACCCTTGACAAGTAAAATTGTCTGGTGTTGGACAGAGAAAAATAACAAAGCATGCTGTATTTGTCTCCTTTGGATGGGCAAAATACTAAAATTGGGGGCTATGGAGATTTTATGGCAAGAGGTGGGGGAACATTTTCTCCAGTAGAATGTATGTTGGCCATTGGAATTTTTTAAAATTAAAAAATTAATGTAATCTAATTTTCTTGCATACAGAAAGTTAGGTGCTGGGTTGGCATTTTCACACTTTTCTATTATCATCGTACTATTCTGTTAAGTTTTTAATGGATGAGTCGGAGACCAATGGTTGGAATGAGGGCATGTGCACAGTTAATTTGTTATTCTTGCATGTATTCATTTATGAACTTTTGACTACTGTAATAGTCAGCCATTTAAATAAGTATTTTACTAGGGTACAGCTTGACGATTTTACATGTCAAACAGAACTCCAGTTATGAAAGACTGAAATTTTCTGAGCAAGCTGGAACAGAATTAGATTTTAGTGAAGGATGGAGATAACAAAAAATATATATATCAGGCATGAAGGAGGGTTTATATCCAAAAACGAAAGATGGAGGAAAATTAGACGAAGAAAACTAATTATACAAACAGAGTGCCACAAATCTGCTGGAATTTAGGATATATAAACTGATAAATATTTGAGAATAATAATATAATTTTTATATAATATGCATCATAAAATCGTACCTCGAATATACTGCATTTGATCTTTATAGCATTCAAAATCCATGTGGCTTCAAAGTTTATAATTTCCATCAAAATAAAAACAAGCTTAAAATCTGCTGCCTATTGTTTTAACATATTAATTTTAAAACACTTGTTATACATTCATATTTTAAAAATCAAAGGCAAAATATGTATTTTTAAAATTTAGTTCGCCCATTGCAATGTTCAGTTGTTCATCCCCCCGGGATGACATGACTTTAATAAGGCCAGGTTACAAAAATGTCCAATATTTTTGGACACACGTGACCAGTGTTTACCAGGGCCTTTGCTTCCCGTACCAGAGCCTCTGAACCGCGCAAAGGCCCTGGGTACGAGGTTGCAATAGCAGTTGTGGAACATTCAACTGGGATGGTGAAAGGGTTGTTGACAGCCAAGGCGCGAATTTCAAAGAGAAACACGTCAATCCCGAGATTAGAGCTAATCGGTGGTCAAATGGCTGCGAATATGGCAACGAACGTGTGTAAAGCGTTGAAACAACTACCAATAGCCTCAATAACCATATGGATGGATAGCACAGTGGCACTCTTTTGGATCTTAAATCCAGCTAGATCATGGAAAACGTTTGAGCGAACCGAGTGAGAAAAATAGCGTCCATAACAAGTGAACTCAATATCAAGTGGAAATATTGCCCATCGAAAGAGAACGTAGCAGATTTGGGAAGTCGAGGCGCAAGCATTAATCGTATAGAAAGTAATGGATGGTTTCATGGTCCAGATTGGCTGCTAGATGAAAAGAAACAACCGGTACAACCAAATCTCAACTGCAACAAAGAAGTTAACCTAGAGAGTAAACCCTTGACAGAATCAGTATTCCAAGTGATAGAGAAGGAACCTGATGAATGGGATTTGTTATTGGAACGGAGTTCATACTGGAAAACATTACGAGTAACGGCTTGGTGTTTAAGATTTAAGCAGAACTGTTTAGCGAAAGGACAAAAGTCGAAACGAAAGAGCGGTCCGCTACAAACAGAAGAAATTGAAAATACAAGAAATCACTGGGTGAAGAAAGTCATAGCAACACGCCCGAAACGTTGGAGAGTCCCGGTTGGAGATTTGTGCGGGATGAGGAGACCGATATTTTAAAGTGCAGAGGAAGAATTTCCAGCTATCAACCATCTTATCTGAATGGAGGAAGATTCGTAGAGAAACTTATAAAGCATTCACATGAAAAAGCCATGCATCTGGGAGTAGCGAGCACAATGTCATTAATCCGAGAAGACTGGTGGATACCACACTGACATCGAAAGTTAATAAAGTAAACGGAAACTGTAATGTTTGCAAAGTTTTCTCGACAAAGCCTTTTACAGCTCAAGCAACGTCACAACTGCCCGAATTCCGCAAAATGCCTGGGAGACCGTTTGAAACCACGGGAGTGGACTTTGCGGGTCCTTTACTGTATAGGGTCACGAAGAAAGAAGAAGGAAAATGTTATGTAATCATATTTACGTGTGCTACATCGCGAGCAGTCCATTTAGAGCTAGCTAAATCGCAGGCAGCAGAAGAGTTTCAAGAAAAGTTGAACGCGTTTATTACAAGGAAAACTAGGCCAAATGCTGGGGTAAAGACTTGTAACATCAGCGGTAACTAATAAAGCATTTTCGGGTACCTTTCCAATTTCTTTAAGTTTCTCCAGGAAATGTCCTGTATCTCTAATGTAGGACTTACCAGCTTTCATAATGGGCTTCAGATGATGATCTAAAAATTCTGAAGCTTTCTCAGTGGAAGTTCCGCAATTAGAGTCACGGGACGTCCTGGTACATTACTAAGTCTCTTATGAATTTTGGGTAAAAGATATAACCGACCTAATGAAGTTCATCTTTAGAAATACTACCCTGATCATATAAATCTTGAAACATTTTATTACTTTCTCTCATTAAATTACCCAATTTTTCATCCTCAAAATTCTCAACCTTAGTATATAAACTTTATCATTTCCGAGTTGTAAATATCCTTCCGCTAAATAATCGTCTCGATCCCAGACAACCACACACGATCCCTTGTCAGCCGGTTTAATAATGACACTATTGTCTTCTATCAACGTTTTCAATATTTGCCACTCGTCTTTGTTTAAATTATGCTTCCATAAAGTTTTTAGGGAACATATTCAAGTAATTCTTTTTCAATTTGACTAAGAAATAGTTCTAACGCTGGACAGCCCTCTGGTGGCGTCCAGGTCGATTTAGGGCGAAAAGCTGGAATTTCGCTAAAGTCCGGCGTTACATTATCTTTAAAATGCCACTTACACCTCATTCTTCGACTAAACTCTTGGAAATCCTCTCTCAAATCCATTTCATTCACTTTAAATGAATGAATCCTTTCCCCAGTATGTTGATTTCGACATCACTTAAGATTTTGTGGCTCAAATTGAAAACGTTTTCAGAACAAATGTAACCTTTTAGAGTTATTAATAATATAAAGTTATTTAGTTAGGGCTAAAGTACCGCCCTTAGTGAGGGAAAAGGGGTGTAAGAAATGTAAGAAAGCACGATGTTTAACGTGCAATAATATTCGAGAAACCGACAGCTTTGAGAGTTCAACAGATGGTAAACAGTACAAAGTGAACCATAGGTTGAATTGCGACTCGAAATGTGCGGTTTATCTTCTTACCTGTAAAGTATGTAAAAAACAATTTGTTGGCGAAACAACAGATAAATTTAGGTACCGTTGGAATAATTAGAAAGCTTGCCACAAAAAGGCAGTTAATAACGAGGCCTATACACAAATGTTTTTCCATCAACATTTCTTGGGTAATGGACATAATGGATTGATTAGTGATTGCGAGATTGTTTTAATTCATAAAACTGACACAGCGGAACCGACCAGACGTGAGGCATTTTGGATAAGCAAGCTAAAGACAGTGCATCCTTCGGGATTGAACATAGAGAATGCGTAGCAATGTTAATTATAGTTAATAAGATATTGTTATTTGTATGGTAAATCACTTGTATTCATATTATGCATAATTAGCAAAATTGGGAGTGTATAAATTGGGTTCGCTTGTAAAGTAGGATTATATTTGATGAAGACAATAAAGTCGAAACGTATTGTGTTGAGTTGATTAACTTATATACCTTTATGGCTTTTCGCCTAGTGATTAAGCACGCGTAGGAGTGTTTTATCAGATATAAAACGCGAGGCGCAGCCGAGCGTTTTATATCTGATAAAACACGACTACAAGTGCTTTAAATGGCTTTAAAAACGACTCATCCTATATGAGTTCATTGGCGAAGTAATTTTTAAAATAAACTTTGTCTAACCGAGAAAATCAAAGCTAAAATTATGTAAATTAACATGATTTATTATCACATATAAAGATACGACACACTTATGATTTTTCTTTGTGTTTTCCTCCTGAATTATTAATGAGCTTTTTAAATATATATATATATATATATATATATATATATATATATATATATATATATATATATATATATATATATATATATATATATATATATATATACCGGGTGGCGCAAAAAAAAGTATAACTGTTTGATTACATATAGCTCAAAGACCATAAGCAGTAGAACCCAAAATCGAGTTTCATTACATCCAGCGATGTCTAACTTAAATTTTGGTATATTCGACAGGTATTTTCGTCCAAGATTGACTGAGATATGAGTGTTTAAACTTTTGTTAGCAAATTTGAAACGGTCACAAATTAGCTAAAAACGGCCTATTAAACTGATTTTATAACCGCATCACCATTATAATTTTAAAGGGTTTTTTAACAAACGTAGTTGAAGTGCAAATTGCATCTTCCTTGTAACAGAGATGCTTTCTCGTTTTTGTTTGCTGTTCGGCAACGGAAAAATTAAGCTGCAAGGCAAGGTTGATTAAAAGTTTCCTTCTAAATTTTAACTCGACGTCCCAAGGGATTTAACTGAATTCTAAAATGCGAATGTCGCCTCGTGTGCTTCTAAGTAATAATTATGCCTCGTTTAACGAAGGACCAAAGAGTTTGGGTTTCTTTGGAATATGGAAGGGTAAATATAATGTTTATTTTGTTTATTTTGTAAATAATGTTTATTTTACACGATCCGAACATGGAGTATTTGACGGTGCATCTCTTGGTGCAATATATGTCGTTAATGTTGTATTAATATTTTTAAAATATGTTAATTTTTAGCTAATTTGTGACCGTTTCAAAATTGTTAACAAAAGTTTAAACTCTTATATCTCAGTTAATCTTGGACGAATATGCCTGTCAAATATACCAAAATTTAAGTTAGATATCGCTGGATGCAATGAAACTCGATTTATGGTTCTACTGCTTATGGTTTCTGAGTTACAAGTAATCAAACAGTTGTACTTTTTTTTGCGCCACCCGGTATATATATATATATATATATATATATATATATATATATATATATATATATATATATATATATATATATATATATATATATATATATATATATATATTCCAAATCGTTAATTAAATTTTACTGTTCTTAGTAAGATCAGTACTCGAGTATG